AGCCACTCTGCCACTCAATTTGTCAGGGCTCGAAAATAGCACTCTACCCTGTTCAGCCTTACGAGTTTGTCCCCACTATCTTGCCCTCGTCCTTGTCAAAGGTTACATTGAATTCCAGCCAACCGTTTGCAAATTCGGAGAACAAGCTACGGATAGAGAAAGACTCTTGCAAATCGCAGCAGGGCTTACCGAACCGATCTAGGACTTCTTCGAATCAGGATAATGCGTTCAGGGTATAACACGACATAGTATTATTCTTCCTTGTTTCTTGGGCGATTCGCATCCACCGTTGTCGTACGGAGCTGCCTCTTGAGGGGTAGTAAGCCAACTCCAGCCTCGTGTTTCGACGTAGGCTTGCTGACAAGGCCATGACTTATACGCGGCTGACTGGCAACGCGGAAGGACATCACGGAGGTTGAACGAACTCGACATAACGGTTCGCTCGGCCCCATTGTCCACGACGCTTCTTGCCACCGTCCAATGCATTTCCTCGCACTCGTTTCCATTTCAAGAAAGTCAAGTATCACAATGATATCCGAGTCATCCATGGCTTGGCAATCACGGACATTTACGACCTTGACCAACTTTTACTCCACTAGACATGTTATGTGTTCCACTATGCGTAATCAACGGGCTGATTTATCTTACCGCTCGATCTCAACAGAGATCTAGCTGCCTCCTGGCAGGTGGGGACGAAAGTTTTGGCTGCTTCAAGGCCACACCCAGTGCTCATGCTTATTCCGACCACGCATTAAAGCGACACGGAAACTTCCTTGGTCAGTTTCCAGCTTACAAAATGAAAAGCCGTTACTCACATGATTAGGACTCATGCGGTCAGCTACAGTAGTTAGATCCCTTGCTCATAAGAAAGCAAAGTTGATCTAAGATCCTTGTTCCTTGTCGTCAACATTTTCGACAGTGGGACAGGAAGAGCAACCCTGTGAAGCAACAAAGATAAACCCCACAACTGACAGTCGAACATCAAATACCAGAGCCAGTCATTTTAATGCACAGCTTTACGGTGCTGTCCTGGAGGCACCGCGCCTTCCAACCTCGGCAATTTGTCTCCCGACCTATTGGGTTCCCAGAGGCTGTCAGAATATTGCTTTGGAGACTGGAGGTGTGGGATGAGCATCGTGCTGTGCCATGTTCCAAAGCATGTCCGACTCTTTCCACTTCTCCCGCTGGACGCGCTCTCGTTGCTGTCATCTAGTGACCATCACCATTGAAGATGGATGGCGCAATCGACAATGACAGTTATCGCCGAGCAAATTCTCACCTCGCCGCCCACTAAGTGTAAAGGATGGCTTCAATATTATCTGTGGGTGACCCCATTTACGCCTGCTTGGATCTATTTGCGCATGCTATACACTGATTCGAGGAAGTTTTATCACTGTCCAAGTTTTTCGGCCGACTAGGGACATTATCGCTTGCACATGACCAAGCCTCTTTGAGCAGTGCCGCAGACGAATTGCCGCTCCTAGGCATTAGGTTTCAGCCGCAATATCACTATGGCGTCTTGTTCGTTGTCGAGTTCAGTAAGGCACAACAGCATGCGGCTGGCTGACATGACAAGCCTTGGCGCCATCTTCAAAGCTTGAAATGTCTGAACACTCCCTTCGGTCCCGACAACATGGATTTTTGAATCATTCGTAGGTTTTAGCGTCAAGCCAGTCTCGGTAGTGCTTTCAGTAATGACATTGCCTTGGAAATGTAACCTGGTGGCTGGTGTCCCATTTCACTGACCGACAGTCCGGGGAAGGCACTAGTTTTTGGGCCAACGTTTGAGTATATTTCGTTAGCAACTTTGCTTGCATTTAATCTATCGGCTACATTGCATGCACCCAACGCCCTTTCCAACGTAGAAAACATGATCTAGCCAATCATCACCCAAGCATAGATAGGATATTGAGAAAGTTCGTAGCTTGACACGCCCCTCACCAGAATTGGATATAACTATAATATCTGACCTCGTCAAAAAAAAAAAGAGAAAAAAAAAAGGATATAACGGCCGACTCCATAAGGGGTAGGCCAATGATGTTAATTATATGCCAACCGATAGTTCCATTGGCTCAGGGTCCATAGCGCCAACCATGCCGTTTTCATCCCGCTCTTCCTCCATCATCTCGATCAGGCTGTCGAGATTCGTGTCCAGACTCTCAGCCTCCTTGGGGTCGAGGCACCTGTTGAGCAGCTTTTTGTATTTCTCAATCTTGTCCCCTGTACCCACCATGCTCAACGCCTCGACGTATTCTGCCTCGGCCTTACGCTGCTCCGCAAGCAACGAGCTGAGCTCCCGCGCGAGGCGCAGTCTCTTGTCGTATGACTCTTCTTGCCCACCGCCCTCGCCGTTGACGCGGCTGAGTTCGCTGTCCACTGCCCTTTGGACGTGCAGGCGGTTCTGGTGTGTTATGAGCGACAGAACCTGATGCTTGGCCAAATTGGCTTCGGTCGCCTGCTTGGATGCTGCTTCTTCTGGTTCCAGTTGACCCTCAACGTCTGTGATGCTTTGTCGAACAGCGGTCAGCTCTTGTTGAGTGTTGGACAATAGTCGTTTTGCCTCGGATTCTGCTATGTCCTTCTCACGGAATTCGTCCTCGTAGCTCTTAGCTAGATCTTGAAACTTCTCCATGATAAGGGGCGAGATCCGCGACTGTACTGTGTTTGCTGCTGCCGACTGGAAAACAACTGGCGATTGTCTGTTGGCCTTCTCGATAAGCGCATCCTTAAATGACGCATGTCGTTGAGACTCAGGGGCAAAAGGCGATGATGATCTTTGTGGTCCACGGTCTTTCTTAGTTGCGTTCAGATCCATGATCAGATCCTCTGCCCTTATGCCCTCATGATTGGCAAGATCTGATGAAGCGTTGCGCCCTAGCAGTGCTCGGATACATTTCCTAGCATTTCGTTGCGCTGCGAGATGCAATGCCGTATTCCCTTCGTTATCCTGGATGTCCAGTAATTGCTGAAATGCACTGGGCTCCAACGTTTCCTGTAGTTTGTTCAGGATGTTGTCCAGGTAGTATCTCGAGCACGATGAGTTGAAGACCCTACCATTCTTCATCACGGCTGCGTGGTGAATAACTGTGCAACCCACGTTGTCACGAGCGTCGAACGTCTCGAATAGTTCTTTCATCACCATAGGAAAGCTCTGTTTCTCGTAACAATTAGTAAAGTTGACGGAATGCATAAATGGTGTTTCGCCTCGGATGTTCTTGACTGTAGAAGATGCATTAAATCGCTTCAGCTGCTTGACAACATCCAGATCGCCCATAGCCGATGCCCAGTGAAGTGCTGTGTGATCTTCTGCATCAATAGGCCAGTTAGGCTGAAAGTTTGCAGGAGGGTCAGGCTTCACTGCTGGCTGATCTGTTTTACTTAGAAGGAAGTAGTCCAGAAGCTCGTCACCGTACAAAGCATGTTGCTGTTCAGTAAGATCTTGGAGGTTGTTATCGTCTCTTCTACGTTTTCGGCCCGTGCCAGGCGCTTGAGGCATCTCGAATCGTTCGTCTTCGGCCATGTAGGATGCAGATGCGACCGTGAGGTTATCAGGGGTATCTTCGTCACCCATCAGGGTATCTCCATCTTCTTGAATCACAGGCGCTGGAGCGGGAGGTGGAGGAGGCGGGTCTAAATGGGGTCAGCTTGAGGACAATACTTGTGTTCGAGTTTGACATACTGTTCCATTTCGGCAGCGGAGGTCGAGACTTTGGCCCTTTGGGTTTACTAGCATGCCTAGGGGCCGGAGGAGGACTCTCTGCGCCTGCAGTGTATTCGAAGATCGGTCGCAATCGGTCGATGACACTATGTCGCTCTGCTAATGCTTGTCCGCTCTCGAGGGGTATCCATGTTCCTGCACGACCGTGTTAGGACAGCAATTGCATATCTGAAGATATCACTCACCCTGATATTTTCCATATCCACCTTGGATCTTCTCATGAACATCCTTCTGCACATCTCGTTCGAGAATTCTTGTTCGAGCTGGTTTGTCGAAACCAGCAGCTTTCAGAATGTGTGTCGCATTGATCCAATTGTCCGACCTCCTTCGCATAACATGCTCTTTGAGCTCGGCACCGAACTGAAATTCGTAGACAGGTATCTAAGGCGGTGTTTGTTAGCTCTGGTACAGAAAGTCGGTAGTAATGAGGATTGCTGCATTAGTAGAAAGTTCCGACGGCAACATGCGACGCTGTAACATTCTTCTCCCCAGCCTGGAAAAAGAATCTCTGCCAATAAATTCCTCGTATTGGGTTCATGAAAAAGCTTACTCCACTGTATACTGCGCTGTAAACGCCAGGTGCTGTGGCAGCTGGTGCTGCATTAGCATTGGCCTTGACCATGTCGGCGGCTAAGATGAAGCAATTCTGGAACCATGCGCGATGGAATAAGTATGATAATGTCGTTCAGGGAAAAAATCGAGTTCAGATCAAGCAGGTGGACAAAAAATGGTATCAGTAAGGGCTAAATTGGAGTTTGCAGTTCGTCTTTGGAATCGCCGAAAGTTCTTCTGAGGCTAAAGTTGCCTAGGTAATAATGAATGCACGTTGTGACGCGATTCACTACTGAGAAGACGCGACCTTAACGCGAAGCACTTAAAGTGCACCTGCCTGAGGCGTAAATGGCCTTCTAAATCACGTGATGAATCTGCCACGGGGCGCCTCCTGAAGGTAGCGGTAGCAGATTGGATTGGCGGGCGCGGCTTTGTTGGATAGCAGGGCAGGGGTACAACAAACAAATACCTTTGACAATACCGACCACCTCTCGACTCTTTCCGTGACGACGGTTTATGGACACGACGAGCTACACACGCGTCGAGAAATTGTTGGTCTACTAATTAATACGCCAAAACTTGTGGCTGTGATCAGCAGTGAGCTTAAACTATCACCATCGAGAAGCTCCGAATTGGGGGACCCATATGGTAGCTGCAAGGAAGTTGGGACGATTTATGACAACAGCAACAAAAACGACACTTAGGAGGCCAATTTGAAAGCTACACAACCATGGCCGACTCTCTTCACAATGCGCCTATAGTCCTCGACAATGGATCTGGCACCATTCGAGCCGGTTTCGCAGGCGACGATCTACCAAAGTGTTTCTTCCCATCTTGGGTTGGTCGACCAAAACATTTGAGAGTTCTCGCGGGTGCCCTCGAGGGTGAGGTGTTTATAGGACAAAAGGCGGCTTCGGAATTGCGAGGATTGCTCAAGATTCGGTATCCCCTTGAGCATGGCATTGTCACCGATTGGGACGACATGGAGAGGATTTGGGAGTATGTTTATGGAGAGGGATTGAAGACTCTCAGTGAAGAGGTTTGTTACCAAACAATGCTGTCTCATCGGCTGTGTTGACACCTTATAGCATCCAGTCCTGTTGACGGAACCGCCTCTGAACCCACGAAGCAATCGCGACACGGCGGCCCAGATCCTCTTTGAGACGTTCAATGTCCCCGCACTCCACACATCTATCCAAGCTGTGCTATCACTATACGCCAGTGGTCGAACAACCGGTATTGTCCTCGATTCAGGTGATGGTGTTTCCCATGCCGTGCCGGTTTATGAAGGTTTTGCCATGCCAAGCAGTATTCGCCGAATCGATGTAGCAGGCCGAGACGTGACGGAGTACCTACAGACGCTGCTACGGAAGAGTGGATACGTCTTTCACACGAGTGCCGAGAAGGAAGTTGTGAGGTTAATCAAGGAGAGCGTCTCGTACGTTGCTCATGACCCGCGAAAGGAAGAGAGGGATTGGGTTGGCGTGAAGCCCAACGACAGCAAGGTTGCCGAATACGTTCTCCCAGACGGTTATAAGCTCAAGGTAAGACCCTACGCTCTCAATTCACTGTATGAATAAACTAACAGATTGAAGATTGGCGCAGAACGTTTCCGAGCACCTGAGATTCTCTTTGACCCTGAAATTATCGGCCTCGAATACCCTGGTGTTCACCAAATTGTCGTCGATGCTATCAACCGAACAGATCTGGACCTGCGAAAATCGCTTTACAGCAACATTGTTCTCTCCGGGGGAAGCACGCTGACAAAGGGCTTTGGTGACCGTCTCCTGACGGAACTGCAAAAATTGGCAGTCAAGGATATGAGAATTAAGATCTTTGCGCCGCCGGAGAGAAAGTACTCGACCTGGATCGGAGGCAGCATTCTTGCTGGATTGAGTACTTTCCGAAAGGTCAGTGAAGTAGTTGTAACCCTCTTTATCAGCTTACTAACTCGTAACAGATGTGGGTGAGCATCGATGACTGGCATGAGAATCCCGACATTATTCATACCAAGTTCACATAAGCTGTACCTCTTCTGGTGCAACCATTTGAACTCGCGTCTTTTTACGATGCAGCCTCTACGATGACAATCCGACGTGGTCGTGTATAAACCTATTGACGTGGATTGTTAACCTAGATTTCTTGTCTGGACCTTTTATGATGGGGATGAGCGTTGTGAATGTCGATACTCCCACAACCAACCTACTTTGTCCCGCAGCTGTTGATAGAGCGATGCGTGAGCCTTTGCATGGAATGGAAGATTTAGTACTGCGCAGGCGTGTAGTGACACCGGTGCAGTTGTAGACAACCTTTGCCAGATAGAGGAAGCTTAATGATACCCTGATGCGTTGAATCTGTGTCTCGGTGGCGCATGTGAAGTGATGATGGTACAAATAGTATATCACGAACTGGAGTTATAGCTGAGAAAATATTGATGCTTTTATAATATAAGAAGAGAGCTACGCTCGGGGGTATAATAATCTTCACCAGAAACAAACATCATACAGGCAAAAGGATGGAAGAGAGGCAGTTCATATCGCCAATCTCAACTCATCAATGCCAACCGTACCATATATCCAAGGCTTTTCTTCGCCATTCCCATTTGCTCTGAGGTCCCCATCATTTTTATTCTTGTTCGTGCCAAAATGTCAAACCCAAACGCCGATCGCTAGTTTCAAGACCAAGGTCCTTTCCATGGTACAACAAATGAGGTAGAAAGCATGACATTTCTTAGTCCCTGCTAAAAGTGCTGCTCACGCGAGCCCACAGCTTCGTCTTTGAGCTCAGAGAGCTGCTGGAGCTAATATCGGATCCAGCATCGCTCTCCTTGCGGTGGAACACGTTGCCAGCGCCGCCGATGCCGACGTGTCCGGCGGCCATTTGATCACGAGCAGCGATACGGTCGTACTCGTCGTCGAGAGATACCGAGGGCTGCTCGCTGGCGCGGTGGACGTTGCCTGCTCCTCCGATGCCGCTGAAAAAGCGGCGTGGGGGAGAGACTGTTGTAGTGGTAGTTGTGCTGGGGGTAACGACGGTGCGGGATGTTGTTGAAGTTGTTTGCTTTGAGGCACGAGAGATGTTGCCGTAACCGCCTCGACCGGAACGTACGAAGACATTTGTGGAAGGGGAGGGCTCAGTGAGGATGTAGTTTGCCATTGTGGTGGTGTAAGTGAGGTTGATGGATGTAAGCTGAGTAGTGGTTTATGGTTTCTCAATAAGAGTATACGATTGATGAATATCAAGTTGTAGAGAGTCAAGAGTAGGTAAGAGTAAAGCTTGAAAAGGAGAATAGGCAAAGAGAGGTTGTCATGATGGGCGTAGGTGGTAGTTATACCACTCCCACTCTGCCCACCTACTGTTACATACCTCGTTCAATACACCCCCAAGTCAAAGCCAACAAGCCAAGCAATTCCTTTACTTTTATGCTCACCCCACAAATGGACCCATGTTAACTCATTTTTTTTCTTCTCGATGAATCCATCTATTTTTTTTCTATTTCCCCCCCGCATTCTAAATTAGACTGAATTTGTCGTCATGTCGAGTAGACAGAGGAGCTATCTCGCTTGTTCACAACATCAACCAACCCCCGGCAAACCCAGCTCTCCTCATTCACGAAAAAAGTCATAAGACTAACTACGCTTTGCAGTTAACGGCAACTGGGGCACTTACTGTGCGTGTGATACTAAAAGAAACAGAGAGAAAAAAAGACCCCCTCAGCTCAAACCAACTCGTCTCCTCATGCCGAGACAAATGGCGCTTGTCACGCGGTCACCCCCAGGTTTTTTTCGAGCTTGGTTCCTGGATCTAGAGTTTTTAGTATGTAAAAATTACCCCATGAAAACCATTCCTTGAGACGCTATTGGTCAATGCAAGGGTTATGATCCACGGGCTTTGTTATTACACATTAGCCTCACTCTTTCGAACAAGGTAGTAAAAAGAAAACGCAATATGGATGGATACCTTGTGATGTTGTCGTCATGAGGACAAGCGGCGTATCAACTGAACACGTTGTCGATGTCACAATTTAATGCATTTGTGAGGAAAAATGAAACGTTGGAAACGTCGGTCAGGACTATGTAGACTATGTAGTTGTTGATCACTACGAAACTGACGTGGCTGAGTAATGGACGTACGTAGATCATGGACCCTTGGAAAATAACAAAGTTCTGACCTCGAAAAGAAAAGGAGACTGACTTTCCCTCCATCTCATAGCGGAAGACGCCAGCTAGCGACGGCCAGTCCCGCCTCTACTGTACCTGCAAGTTGAACTGACCATGGGTTTTTGTCATTTCCGACTTCTATTTCCCATATTTTACGAAATGGAAACGTCAAGATCCCATCGAGTGTGAGTCTGTCTGTTTGCTGGTACCGGGATCTAAAGCATGCCCATGTCTGCAATTCGATCGTTCCCCGGATCTTTAATCCTGGTGAGCTCCATCTATCAATCTTACGGGGAAGGCATTTAGGCATTCAATGGGGACCAAGGCCTTTGGGGTAAGCTCTGTGCTTGGGCATAGATGTGACGAATCACGCCATTGTGCTGCAGTGTAGCAAACATAAGGAAGCTGGGCCACAGTTGCACCTTTGACATTCAAGCTTGACACATTGACAAATCATGTGAGCGTGTAGACATGCATGTGGTCTGAATTGACAAGTCCCTTGGCTCCGATCCATAGTGGGTGTTCTGAATAGAGATATAGATACGACATATGGCAATGTCTGTCGAGAATAAGTTGATAAAGAGAGGCTAGGAGCTATGTCGTTTGTAGGGTGCTATATCATCGCCGCATATCTGTGATGTTGGGGATAGAGGAAGTAATGGTGCTATTTGTGTAGTAGACGACCTTGAAGTCCGATCATGTTGGAGACACCAACGGAACCTTGTTCCTTCGCGTTGGGTCGTCCGTGGTGTCGATAATGTCGTTTATGGGTCTTCTCATCGTGTTCTTCCATCACGACCTATATGTTCGTTGTCACTATCATCTTCACCGTCCTCCTCACTCTCTGTCGATTCGGGCACCCCACCTCGAAAAACCACATCAAGTTTTCGGATAACGAACTGGAATTTGATCAACAAATTTGGCATTCTTCCTGACACGATAGTCGGCCATATTACCCACTGTTTTCCCTTACAAGACATTGCTATTAGTCCCACCGTCCCATCACCAATCACACCAACTCTGACCATTGGTGTTTGAAATTGGAAACTTTCAACTCAATGTTCCATACCAGTCTTGTTTCACTGTACATTACTTGACATCCATAATGACGAATATCATACGTTGAGCAAACAGGGCATGTCGGCAACTCGATGCATGATGCCTCTCCAGCAGACGAAATTGTCCAAAACTTGGGTTCAGAGTCTCTCAAAAAAAAAAAAAAAAAAAATAGACTATCACTTATTACAAAGACGATATACGTTAAACATTGTAAATTTATAAAGAAATAGATAGCACAGCCATCTGGCTGCTTGTGTCAAGTATACTCCATCCAACGCCCGGAAATACCATTCCTTCAAATTGCTGCAAAGAAGCACAAATGTGCTACCGGACTGAATCGTTCGGCATCATTAAATTATCAAGCGAGATCCCGTTTTATTTACCCATGCTCATCCAGCCAAACATGCCGCATGCAAAGGACAGGACCAGGAAGGTCAGGACACCAGCACCGGCCTTGTCAGCAGTACTAAGAGGACCGTAAGTCTTGTCAATCTTGCCGTCTCCGACGTTACCCGCATTGGGGTTACCCTTGGAGGTGCCTCCCTTGTTTGCTGTGACGGGAGGAGGAGTGTTCTCCATGAGCAGAGATGACACGGCTGCGAGAACGTTCATCTGTTGACCAGCACCGGTCTTGCCATCGTACTTGCCGCTGGCCCACTTAAAACCACATACGCGTCCAGTCTCTCCACCAGTACATTGAGCAATGGCAGCCTGTGCGGACTTTTCGAGGACGGGGAGAATCTTGGGTCGAATGAAAGGCGCAAGATGAGTCGCCTGTGACATCCAGCGATGTACGTAGCCCTTGAAGGAGTACATGTCTGTAGTGCAAGTGTCGTGGTTCTCGCAGGCGATTTCAACAGCAATGTCCTTAGGGAAGAAGTTTGAGATGGTGGCATCAACCAACTTATCGAGGCGTTGCTCCCACTTTTGCGAGCCATCGGTCTGGAAATGTCAGTGAGGTTCATAAGTTTGGTCTGTGGATTGACTTACGTGGTTGTACATGAAGGCAGCGCCCTGGAGGAAGACACCGGAGTTGTAGGAGAACTGGGCCTTGTTGATATCGGTACAGTTCTTTCCGACGTGACCGCCATCATAAATCTTATAACTGGTGGGGTCAAGGAAACCAACGCCCTCAATCCAGTCCCATGTCTTCTCAGCCCAGTCGGCATAGGTCTTGTTGCCCGTGTATCGAGCAAGTCGGGCACCCAGGTTGAAGAAACAACCGTTGGCGATACCTGTTCACAAGTTAGTACGCAAGTTTACTGGGTAGTTATATCTAAGGAGGAGCGCTGACTGTTCTTGTAATCGTAACCGTTGTTTGTTCGAGGGATCTGCCATCGGAGACCACCACCGCAAGTATCGTCGTGTCGGTCAGGATTGGCTTGAGTGTTGAAAACAGCTTGAGCGAGAGCTAGCCAGCCAGGCTGATCTGAAGGAGGGTTGGGAAATGCCAACTCGGCAGCCAACATGGCAGACATGCCCCAGAAGCCTTGATCGTCGTTTCCGAGGGATAGAGTAACATTGCTGGGCTGATAATCTTGATCGTCTCCGACTTGGAACTGCATACCCTGCATCACAAGGTCGTTGTATTTCGTATCGCCGGTGCACTTCCAGTAATCCATATACGTCCCCCACATCGCACCGCCTTCCCACCAGTAGTAGTCGCCGTTGGGAGGAGGACCAGGCAGGATACCTGGGATACCACCGGGGTCATTTCCGTGGTAGTATTCGATCAAATCAGCGGCGAGTTGTTTGGCCGACTTCTTGATGGCGTCTGCGTTGTGAAAGTTAATCTCTGTTTACCTTTACGGCGACGGTTGGAGGAGCGCACCTGTGCTTGAGATGCTGTAAGGCGATGCCTGGGCGTTGACGAGACCCGTTGAAGCCAAAAGCGCAATTGCGCCGGCGTAACAAAACGACTTCATCGTGAGTGAGTCCAAACGAGATCAAATTGAGCGGCGTCGAGAAGAACGAGCGACGAGGCCGTCAGAAAGCGAGAGTTGGGCGCGCCCAGGGAAAGTTCGGGGTGCGAGAAATATGGAATAAATGCGATAAGTATTGATGACTGAATGGGCAGCCAAAGCGAGAGTCGATAGTAAAATATCAAAGTAAAAAGAAAACGGAGCAAAGACGTAGAGTCTTGTGATGGATAAAATCGAGAATGGGATGTTGTTGAAGAAAGTCAAAGTGCCAAGGAAAAGAAATGGAAACAGGTGACGGGGGGGATGGATTTGCGTGGGAATACCGCAAGGTACAGAATACGACTGCCGCAATTAAAGGGAGCAAAAGAGAAAGGAAGAGAGGGAGGGAGAAACACCCAATCAAAGCGACAGTGGATCAGGGAAGAGGAGGGTGACACGGTCTATTGACTGGCTAAAACGGAGTAACCGTCACATTAAAGCGTCAGGTCAGGCTGTATCTATTTTTTGCCCTTTCCCTACCTGACGCGGCGGGGGTATTACGCGCATTGCAGTAGGCGATACGAAGTTCTAGACTTGATTAGTCCAGGGGTCATTGCGTAGAGACAGACATTGATCTTGCATAAAGGCTTTGATCAATCGTATTTCAGTTATATACGAGGGTCACCCCAAGTTGGTTTATCTATCTACTACCTATGCCTTGGGTGTAACCGTTGAACCGACAGACCGTTGTCAAGAATGAAAGATGCCCATTGTAATCTACTGTACGATGGCACGTTCATTCTTGTTGTAGTGGAGGAACCCGCTCTTCCGGCAGCTTGATCCCATAATCGCCCAGTTTTCTGGGCTTTACCCACAAGACTTGTTCATCATTACGTTTCTTTCTTTCACGAGCAAATGTCTGTTATTTTTCTGGTCCTACCAACCTCATTCAATGTCGCGAAATGCTTCAAAGGAATTACATGTCGTCAATTGCTTGTTCAATGCCAAGGCGCTTATCGGCACCCTTAACCGATTC